TACGTTGTACCATACGACACATCGGTAGACACTCTCACACATACGCTCACCTTCCTTCGGGTGCTTGACCCGTAGGGCGAGCTGAACCTTCTGAGGCGCGAGACGTTCAATCTCGCCGTCCTTATGGTCGTTCGCCTGGCGGAGCCGAACGGGGTCGTGATATGATTGTCCACAGCACAGCGCACAGTACACGGAAACGGAGGAGGAGGTGGTGTCATTTACATGCTATGGTACACGAGCAGCAAGCAGTGCGGCTTCAAACTCATATTACCTTTGGCTAATGCACGGCGTCACCAAAACATTGACGACCGTGTTCCTTCCCGTGGTGCCAAAAATATGAGCGCCTGCGGTGTCTAGATGATCGGCGCGCAGGGTGCCAAGAAGCATAATGGCACTAGACTAGACTACCAGTCAGCGCTGACTAGTAGTGTAGTGATCATCGCGTTTCTCAACAAAAGTTATTGCCCGAGTCCGTCAAGCTTTCTTTCAAGCCACGAACACGTCCCCCCAGGGTTGCCATCCCTGTGATCAGCGCTGTCTTGCCCGGAAAATTCTCCCAACATGTCCTCCCAAGAACTACGTTATTCTAGGTCCGATACATAAGACCCAATTCTCCGTCAATGTCCTCTCGAAACAATATCCATGTCCTCTCGAAACAATGCTATCTACAGAACTTCTAACTCAATATCAATTGTTTTGTCTTTCTTAGCTTCGTTACATCAGCAGCGAACGTTTTCTTCCGACACAAATCTCCCGAATTTTCTTTCAACAACAGAGACATACTACACCATCCAACCCTCTCAAGACAAAGAAGTCTGATTTCGTAGAGCGTAGAGAGGAGATGATCAAAGCTCGAAACATTTTCCCTTCGGCAACGTCTTGATGTTTTCACACCTCTTGTGTTTGCGTTGCGCTTGTTACCACATATAGGGTACCTCGCTGTTCATGCAGGTGGCGACATAGAAGAAGCAGCGCAGTGGACGACACAGGTCAAGCATCGACGGTTGCGTGCGACACGAGGTGCTCGAGACCCCGTGAAGCAATGCGCGCTGCTCTGACTGAAGATAGAAGGCTACGACGGCAGTGCTTCTGTGCAACGAATGTGAGAGGTCACATCACGACAGAGGAGAACATAGCAAACTCTATCATTCGATCGCATCGGTCGTTCAAGATGTGCCGAAATTGTGCCGAAAACGTAAATTGCGAAGCAGCCAGCGACAGATGGAGGGTGTTACACGGTCCGAGCCATACCCTACAGGGGGAGCGCCTCTCGGACTCTCGAAGCGCGGCAGCTCACCTACGTAGTCACCGCACGTGCCTGTGGTGTCTAAATAGCCAACGATCAATGCACGCCACAGCTATTACTGTACGGTAGTGAATTGCCTCCTACTACTCAGTTCAAATAATGTGGAAGAAGAGAGATGATAGACCAGCGCCGACGACATCGGGGGGCGTATGACTTCCATCCGCCGACTTGACACGACACCGCGGCCGGGTTAACATGCGCGTGCACAGCCGAAAAATTCAGTAATAACTTGGCGGTGGCGTCGATGCCGGACAAATCTTCGTCAGTCACCGTTGCGACCGTGGTTCCCTCGATGGAAGAGTTCGTTGCCATGACACTCCATGCAATCAAAACCTGGAGCACTAGGGTTGCTACGCCCGTGACAACGCGGTCGGAGTGGGGACGGCGTTATACTAGTCCTCACCTGATGGTGGTGGTGATGCCGGCCGGACAAATAATTTTCAGCCGCCGTCGCGACTTAAGTTTCCTCGATAGAAGAGTTCGTTGACATGGCGACACCCCATGCGATCATGCCAACGAACTATTCCATCGACGGAACCTAGGTCGCGACGGCGGCTGACAGAGAGTTGGCCGGCATCACCACCACGATCAGGTCAGAGAAACGTTTGACTGTGGATTCGAGCACCACGAGCGATGTTCCAACGAAGGACGTTGCACATATAACTCAAGTGTCCTTGTTGGTGGTGGCGGTGGTGGTGTTGTCTTACCTTTTCTGGTGCTGGTGCAGGGCAATAGTCAAGAGGGAAAGAAGAGGAGCTGTGTAGTTGTGTAGTGTATGGGCGTGTCGGGGGGGCAACGAAAGACGGCGCGTCGGTTGCGGTTCGGGATGACTGCTGCGAGCTACCGCATACGGTGCTAACTTTGCCCCTCGGCTTTGGCTCTTTCCCAGAAGCGGACAGTACGGAATTTTGTTGCATGGCATCTGGAGTCATCGTAATAAACCAACGCGGTCGAGCAAAAAAGGCGGAGAAGCCACTGAAAGCTACGTGTTGAAACCGCCGGGATACGATCCTTGTGGTTAGACTACGTCGACTACCTGGGCTTTTAACACTCAATATATGCTGTAGACTGGATAGGCTATGTCAACGTTTATTGTATTGGGTGATATCCCGTGAAGTCTCGATACAATGTCGGGAGAAGAACAGTAAGTGTATGGATGGCTACTGGTCCGATTCCATTCAAACCGACATAAATTTGCAGTACCGGAGCCGAAAAAAAGAGTTGCCGTATTTCTTTCAGGGCATAAACTTGTTTGGGTTTCGCTTTGGCGGGATGTCCCGGGTGTCTGTCCCTTGACATATGGGGCAGCTTGGGACATCGGGAATTCATTTATTTACCCTGAAAGCTACGGAGGAAGCGCGGGACAGAGGTCGAACGGTTTTGACATGCCATGACAAACAAACGTCAACAACGATCATCATGTTCTCAGAAATATCGCATGCCTGTATCGCACCAGCCGGAGAGAGAAGCGCACGACGAGCTGTTCACGCGCCGTATGAGCGTAGTTCGGCTCCAGCCTGGGCACGACCACAACGGACGACACTGCCGACAGTACCAACTTGCAATACCTCCTTTGGGCAGCCCCACGCGCACACCGGAAAATTATCGAGAAGCACGAAAACGATGCACCCGAAAGTTGTCCACACCCGAAGGCGCGCAAACGAAACCAATCTAGCGAATCGTCACTCGCTCCAACGGTAAAGGCGAATGAACAAGAACCTACGGCGGCGTGTTCATGTACGAAGCGCACTCGATGACGATGATGATGTGAAGTGCGTGTGCTTGGGCGGCACAAGGCAGCGACACATCTATCTGAAACAACACACATACATGGCGAGCTCGAAGGCTGTCTCACAGCAAGGTCGAGAGAGTGATGCCGCCGAGCGCACCGTCGTCAACTTCCCACTATCCTATCGTGGAACCACGTGTACAAAGTCGGGTCCACCCATTGAAATGGAAACTCTTTGTCTACATGGATGGAAGCACCTTTTTTCATCTTCCCCACCTTGCATGTCGTGGCGGCGGTTGGTTCTGAGCCGTTGCTGAGCATGGGCGTTGTGAAGCCGTGGGGGGGTGCCATGGGCATATATATGCGTGTTTGAGCTTTGATTGGATCACTCTTCTGGAGGTGAGGGGTTGAACCGATCGTGAACTGGTCGGTGAAATATTCTAAATTGTTGAACTAAGCAACGATACTAAATATGTGTCAGGTGCCTAACAATGTTTGAAGCGAGCGGCGGCACCACCGAAACGTCTACGCAGCTGGGTTACCGGACACGACCGATAGATGTACAGATCATCCCGCACACGCATCGCTCCAGGGACGCGGACGGCTCGTTGTCGACATGCGGCCACCGGCTTTGAACTGTTACACGATCAATGTAAAACGATCGGTGAGTCTCGCAAGCCAGCCTTTCATTCCAGTTTTCCCTAAAAAATCAAATTCATTAGTAAATTGTCGTATGCCATAGCATATTCATACAAAAAGAGCCCAGAAAAAAACATACATTGATATACGACCTGTCTGTATGGTTCAACCGATCTTGGAGTACATCATGCATGCAGCACGTGATATTAATTCCTGTTATTTGTCGTAACTTGTCAAGAAAACACCTTTTGTGGCCCTCTTGTGTAGGGTGCTCGATTTCCTACTTCAATATTTGACAAATGTGTGTAGCTTTCATCGAAGTACCATGAAAGTCAAAACCACTGCGATAAAAGTTGGTTGAAATTTTACTTCTGCAGAAGCTAGCCAGGTGACTTCCATGGAAGCTTGAGGAACTTCCGTGGAAGTCAAGGAAGGGGGATTTCACGAGCGACTTCCTTCCATGGAAGCTGCTAGTTGAAGTCGACTGCTACTAACGTCCATGGAAGGCTTGGCGAGCTTCGATGGAAGTAGTGAGTTCAACCAACTTCCGTTCGATGGAAGTCTACCACCTTCGGGCAGCTTCCATGGAAGCAATAGGGCACAACTTCCATGGTATATGACCCGAGTCCAGCTTGCGGACACCATTGGGCGACACTATTTGGAGTAGAGTAGTTGGGTGTAAATTAGGGTTTGGGTTGTGTGCTTGAAGTTGCAAAACTTCCATGAAAGCTTCATGGAGGTTACCCGCCAACTCTGACAATCTCTTCCGCGAACTTTCTTTCATTGAAATTGTCGAGCTTTCATGGAAGTCGCTTTTTAAATGCAAGTTGCCGTGCTTCCATGAAAGGATCCTACAGCTTCGGAGAGGTTCGATGGTGCAAGTTGAAGATGCGACTTCCACTTAAGCGACCACCCGCTCCTTCCATGAAAACAGCTCAACTTCTGGCGACTAAGACCCAACCCAATTTGCAATTTGGGAACGAACTTCTTGTTGATTGAAAATCGAACCTTCAAGGACAGATGGATCAAACAAATGGTGCGCGTTGAGCATGGCTGTATAATGTACGACGTTCTATCGCCATTCATTTCTCTCTCCGTTGTGCCACGGAACGCGGATTGTTATTTAGTCAACACTGTTCCGTTCGCCCACAAAACGGGACACGGCGCGGTTTGTCCGTGTACCCCGTGCCAAAGAACTTTGATACACGGGGTTTACCTGCCAACTTGAGCTAGGGCAACCTTCAAGCGAAAACCCTGCGAAAGTGCTAGGGCTCCCGTACCTTTTTTGTAGGGTTCTCTTTATTTTCCCTTTCACAACCCACCAGAAGTACACTCCTTACACCAGTGGGAAAAAGTCGCACCAAGTAACACCTTCGAAAAACGCAACGACGCCGCAAGGTTCGTACGGAAAATCATGGTGCTGTCTGTTTATGCTCACGAAGGACACGTTAACGAGGTCGAGATCCCTTTCAAGCCAATTCCGACCACGGATTCTTCGAGCCGATGTCACTGTAAAAATAACCCCATGTTCAACATCCTGGCTGCTGGATGAGATATCTTACAGCTGACGAAGTCATGCTTGCGCTAGTGTCGAAGTCAAGCAGACCCTCTGCATGGTTGTCGGTGCGTACTCCACACATACGCGAAGGTTTCGGCCAGATAACACAGCGGTTGCGCTGGAGCGATAGCCCTCCCTACGCGTTCCCAACAACCATTGCCATCATGTTGTAGCCCGCCGGTCTCTGAGTCGAGATAATCCTGTTGGTAACCGCACTGAAAAGGTGGCACCATACGAGGATAGCTGACAGCGAAAACCATAGGGGCGAAAACGATATCTTCAAAGCCGATTGACTTAATAATCGAAAGCCCCTCGTTCCTCCAGCAATCTTCTCAGGTTGGCGTGTCCCAGAACCGGGTGACTGGTTTTCCCTTCCCCTCTCCAATCACCCTCCCACATCTGCTCCGCCACGACGATTGCTCGTCGAGCCTCGTGCTGCCCATCGTCCAGCGCCGCCGCGGCGTGTACCACCCTACAAAATTTCCCCGCTGTCGGCGCACAACCGTACTGTTTGCGGCAGCGTGGAGAGTATGCGGGCAGCACGGGGGAGGGCGGGGAAGAGACCGTGAGAAGGCATATACCGTAGTATCCCACGCGGATTACTCGGTGAACGGGTGGAATAGCGGGCGAGCTCCGGGAAGCACAGCGGGAGCATTTTGAATGCTACCGCCTGTGTATTGTATGTAAAAGCGGTACATGAGGATTCTTGTTACGATGCGACGTATAATCCGACAACTGCCAAAAGGTTTTCACGGTGCCACAAGATAAATCGACACGCGTTGCTGGGTGACGTTGGCGTGATTCTGCACCATTGATGGCCTCTGTCGGCTCGGCTGGCTATGTTTATCTCAGTGACTACCCTCTTGGACTCTTGGGGGCGTGCGGGTGCCCCCCCACATCACTCTCTCTCTCTCTCTCTCCACCCTGTGGACACCCGATAACACGATCCAATCATTCATCCATGGAGTACCAGCGCTAACCGGTGGGAGGCTCCAACAACACTTGATCAGAGTATTGGCGTCAACCGCGACAGCATGGGTGGTGAAAATGGTCATCTACGTGCGACGACAGCAGAAGCACAGGGTCTCACTCTGCAAGCGCTGCCAGCAGATATTGCTTTGGCAAACGCAAACACGGAGGAGCACCAGCAGCAACCTCACGATGAGTGGGATAGGATGATGTCCCAGCTCATGCCAGCCAGCCACAAGCGCGGCGCGGGGGGAGTCAGGTGAGGATGTCACAATGGACACAGCGGGGAGGGACTTTCGACGAAGGTAAGAGCCAAGGTGGCGAATGTGTTCCCGCGGAAGCTGAGGCCGACTGGCATCAGCTAGGTAGGAGAGGGCCCGGCCACAGGCTATATGCCCCAATGGCGAGCAGTCCTCCAATACACATGTCGGTCTGGATCGTCCATATCTGGGACTGAGACTGACGTCCAGAAAGGAAGGATATTTCGATTCGTTTTCGAATCAGCTAGATGCATGTGTACAAAAACCCCACAAATTCGACCCCGATATCACAAGCGGCCCGCATTGATGGAAACTGCGTGGAGTGAATCAGAGGGTCGGCCAAGAAATACGAGAGGCGAACACAGTGGCGTGGACATTCCTGTCTCAAGCCATTGACGTCGATTTTGCCAGGTATCACCCGCGGTAGTTTAGGGCAACGAGAACGGCGTGATACCCAGACGAAAACAGAAGCGTGCGTGCATGTAACAGATGCGCAATCCAACTTAAGAATCGGGAAGCACACCAACCCAGTCCAGATTTTTTTACGACATAGAGGACGCACACGAGAAGTTCAACAGCGCAGGCGAGGTTCCCGATGCTAACACTATCTACACACGTTTTTCCTTCCTCAAACTCAAACTGAGTACGCATGGGAGATTCGGGACATCGGTTTCAAGCCAAGCTACGACCGATACAAGGCGTTCCACAAGCCGAACTGAAATATCGGTTACGAATGCACTCGTATGCGAAGGCGGGGGCGACCGACGCTGTGGCGATGGACGCTGCAAGGGCCGTAGGGGATGCGGCGGAAAGCCGTCTGGTGGGGGACAGCAGCAAGAAACATACCGTCGGTTGCATGATATACCACACCCCCTGGGCCGAATTTCAAACCTCGATTATTTGGTTCACAACGACGACGATGCAGAAATCACATCATGCACTTTTGGAAAGATCACGACGAGACAGTTCCAATGCTGCCGTTCCCGGCACCGCCGCTCTTTCTGCTGTGGAGTCATCGAGCTTTGGAAATCGGTCCAGGGCGTGTGACATATTATGCATCCTACCATGATGGTGAAGCCGCTGGGGCCGAGGGACATGGCATTGGTAACCTGCTGGCGATGCCGAGCGAAGAGGACGCTACGGTAGCGACTGCACTACAAGCAACGAGATGTTCGACGGGTGTGGTGGTGGTAGAGGGCGCGACAGCACCACGTCCGTTTCGTCGGTCGAGATTGCGGCGCTGGCGGCGATGAACTCCAGATAATTCGAAGACTCAGATGTGGAAGCGGCAGCATTTCAATCACGTGTCATTTACAGAGTCTTGCGGTGAGTGTACAACCGCAGGTATCCCTAAATAGGATGTCGCGACGGGGAGTTACAAGTCGTTGCGCGGCCTTTGCCGCGCGCGTTCCATTGCCGACGGATCCAACAGTGGAGATCGGAACGACAACGTGGAGGCGATGTCGTTCTCAGGGAGCAGCTATATGGAGCGTGTCTAGCCGAAGGTATCACCCAGCCCCATGAAAGAAGGGGGGATTCGGGAGGTGCGGAAGTCACCATTTTTGGGCGGATTTGTTGGTGATTTGAAGGTGGACTTGACAAACGTGAGGAGTAACATGACTGTAGAATGACCGAAAGTCTCTCGGCTCGCCAAGCCGTGTGCACCCGACCGCGTGCGGAACGGTTGTGAGGAATAAGAGGCGCGGTGGGACGCTGGGTTCTTGTTGCCTCGATCCATTGGATGCATGCAACCCACGATTTCTCGGCGTACCAGTACCAGGAGAGGGATAAACCAACAAGAGAAAAAAAAACACACACACAACCTTGTGCTGCGTGGTTCACCTGGTTGTAAGCGTGTTGGGCGAAGGAGATGGCTTCCCCGACGTCGCCCGACTGCACGAAGCCGCCTACTACCCCGTCGATCACTATCGAGTCCGGCGCGATGCCCCTGTTGGTCATCTCCACCATGACCTAGTAACAGCCGCAGCAGTATTAATTGGAGCGGCAACAGCATACACAGCTTTAGTAGAAGCGGCAGCAGCGAACAGAAGCGTTGGACAACCAAAACAGATATGACGGTTCGGTGCCGGATTGGAACGGCGCGGCGAACAGAAACGTTTGACCAAGTGACCTTACCCAACCAGAGCATGATGGGCGCTCTCTTCTCATCGAAGATTTCACTCTTCCACACAGGACTTGAGATTCACGCAAGGACAACAGTATACTTCAAGAATGTTTGTCGGACAACGAGTGGAAGATCGCCTTTTCGTACCTCCCAAGCACCATCGTTGTCCCCGGCCCTCGCCAGTCCGTGTACGAGAGTAGCAAACGTGAATCGGTCAGGCCTGGGCAGTGGAGACAGGGGTTAATGCCAAGAGGCAGATGAGCCGACCCGCAAACGCGAAGAGGAAGTGCCAAGATGCGCACGTTGGGAGGCGGGGGCGATATTCCGCCCGTTCTTTATTGCTACCCAGCTTGTAGGATACTTCGCCAGCCGTCGCAAAGCGCCTTCCTGAGTAGCCCTTCAAAACCCGATACCACTTCCATGGAAATAGCACTCTGTGTGCTGTGGGCGTGTAGCAGTCGCTCGTGCGCTCAATAGCGGTGTACATTATCAATCAATCAAGGCGCGCGGTTGAAGTCACGTAGCCGCGACACAGAACAGCACAATGATGGAAGGAGATATTGCACGTGGGTAAGGACAAATAAAGCCATCTCGAGAACGTAGAAAACGGGTGATGGGGGACAAACCTGCGTGCTATTTGGAATCCAATTTCGGAACAGCATCACGGTTCTTACATAGCGGAGAGCCCTCGTGCACGAATTTCGCTCGTAATTTACGACAGCAAGCTATAATAAGCTTTTCAGCATACGAACCGACAGCCGTTGGGCATGAAGACGAAACCAAGTCGATATGACGCCAGACAAGAGCTGAAAAATCGGAAGACAAGACAAGACACGCATGCACTCACTCGAACCCCCCCCTTTGCATGACTTCCAGAGCCTCGAACGCTTGGTCGAACATCTGAAGCCGACACATCACCTGTTGCCAAAGATATCCCGCAGGCGCAGCACAGCCAGCGGACACCAAACACACACGGCACGTGGCACGGACAAAATAACACGCTTGAACTAAAACGATGTTTTTCTACAAGCAACAGTTATCACCACCAGACACGAGAGGGGATGCAGATTAATGAGGAGGGTACGGCTTTTCGAAACAGAGCAGATTGTCGAGATGAGCACAAACATCAAACTTGAAACAAAGCCCCACGGGGAGTAGGTCGCATGGTTGTCAAAACCTGCTACGTTATGGCATCACAACCTCAACGGGGTGGAGTCCAAGCGGATGTAACATGAAGTTTTCTGTAGTCAACACCGGAGGGCAACGCACACGGTACGACGATGGGTTGCGACAAAAACAGAAAAATGAGACCGAAAATAGCAAAGGCCAGAACCATACGCGAAGAAAATCCCCATCGTTCGAGTTTCTGGCCTGAGGAAACTCAGACATGTTTTTCAAAAATCACAGTGAACAATAACCAACTTTCCACCTAACACTCCGATACTAACCTTGACAATAATGTTGAACGACACAACGTTCGGTGCGACTGGAGGAAGCAAGCCGTTCCAGCCGTCCCGCATCCCCTCCATGAAATCCATAGCCTCCGTGCAAACCCGCGCTCGCACCTCCTCCTCGCCTTCCCGTACCTTCATAAACCAAACGGGGATGATGAGAAAGCCAGCTCCCGTAATTATTGTTGTTTGCTCGTCTTAACTCATTCGGTCCATTGAGGTTTTCCTTCTAGTAGGAAGTGTGTGCGAGAGACCCAACACGCTTCAACGCACACGGGCAACAGCGATACGCCCGTATATATATTGCGAGTTTTCCCCTCCCGGTACCACCGGTAGACCCTCAGCTTTTCAGGATAAACTTGAAGGCGCCAAATATACCAAACCGCCCCAAAAAGGTTACCGCGCTATATACACGACAGGCTACCTGCTATTCCGCTTGGTCGCAAACAACACACCACCCAAGGCAATCGCCGTCACCTGTTTAGTTTTGGCAGCGACGGCAAAGGCCTCGAGCCCGAAGTTGAGGGTGGTAGTCTTGGCCGGGTAGCCCTGCCGCGCCATGCCCCTCAGCAGCCACTGCAGCGCTTCCGCCGGCGCTGCCGCTAGCCCGAGCTCCTCCCAGCCCTGCGCCGAGTACCCGTTCGCCAGCGCCCGAAAGAGCAGGGCGTACACCCTGTATGGCACGGCCACTCTCGTACCCCGCTTCCGGCCGTCCACGGCTTGCAGAGCCGCGAGAGCGGCGTGAGGGCGGCCTCTCTCCGCCAGAACGGTCACGCGCTTCAAGATATCTCGGTGGGACTCTGATGCTCCCTGCGTCGGCGCCTGTGAGGGATGCCGTCGGTCTGGTCCTCGTCCCGCCTCCTTCGTCAATTCCGCGGCGGCGGCAACGGCGGCGGCGCACGACTGCTCCACGTTGCGAACGCCCGCCGAAGCGTTTCCGTTGAGGGACGCCTCTCGCAGCCTCTGCCGGAGGAGCTGGTAGCTTTGCTCGGCAGAAGGTCGGACAGCGGTGCCTCCGGCGCTATTACTGCCTTCCTCGTTGACCTGCGTACCGCCATCACCGTTCGCAGACTCCTCGGCAGCAGCGAGAGGTTCTTGGGCGTCCCACTCGTCTACCCCTCTGGTGGTCGAGCTCTCCACCATGCCGCGAATCGCCTCTCCGACCCCAACAACGCGACGGGCGTCGCCTTCTTGCTCAGCGGCAGTCCCGTCGTCGCCATCGTCGTTGTTGTCCCGAGGAGGGCCGAACCCGTCCAGCGCTCTTGCGAGGAGGAACGAAGACCGCCGCTTCTGTCGGACGGTGCCATGGCGCTTGAAGACGGTCTCCAGCTGGGCAGCCAACGTGGCCGGCGGGGTGAGCCCGCGGTCGTGCTTCAAGAAGCGGGGGACGGCGGGAAGCGGCAAAGGCATGGGCAAGCGCGGCGAATGGGGGAGGAGGAAGGTCACTTCATGAGCGGATTGATTTTTTTTTTTGTCGCGTTCGTTACAACGCTTTGACGCTAGTCGGCCTGAAATATCAAACAAACGCCCAGTGTGCCCGTGGTCCCGGTGGACGGGGGTTGGTCACCGAGGCGCTTCCCCGACGACCCTATTTCGAACAGCCAAACGTCTACTCTTTCACGTTTCGTGACGTTCCATCGGGGAGCAAGCCCAAGCTTTTTCATGTCTACACAAAGATCAGAGCGACAGAGTGATCCGACCTACGCGAAGTGTTCAGCAGCGCGGCATTGCCCGCACTCACCATCTCTTGCAGGACATCAATGGCAGCAGGGATTCCTTCCCACCGGTTCTGGGACACGTGCAACAGGGCCAAGAGAGACAGCGCCGCCAAATTTGGACCCGCCCATTCCCGCCGCAGCTCGGGCTCGCTCCTGCCTTGCAAATCTTCGACGGAAGCAATAGCTGTTGCCGCGGAATCCAAGGCGGTGCGGATGGCCTTGTTGATAGAGGCTGCATCCTCGCGGTCGAGGAAGCGTGACGTTGTCAGGACGGCCTGTAGCGTTGCCGTCAGTCGCGAGTCAACGTCCCCTGGATTTCAGCAGAGGCATGCGAAGGTGCGGCAGAGCCCATTAAACATTCGTCGCGGCGAGCGGGAGCATGGCAGAACGGAGGGACTATTAGTGCAAAATCACACGGCGGTGACAAAATGGACAAAAACGTATGCATGCATCAAACCAATCTACCTCACAAGCAATGCACACACGAACAGGAACAGAGAATCGGGGAGACCCGAGAAAGTTAAGAAGCGTGAAGGCTGAAACGTCGCACAGTCACAACCCATCTCCTCACCGCACCAGTGCATGTCATGAGCCCCGCTATCCACCAAGAGTATCTCCAAAGCTACATATATGCATAGCACACCTTGGCTGCGATCTCCGCAAGCGTGGGCCTGACCCGCAACGTCCTCAACGACCTCCAGCAGCGACAGCCCGTACGGCCGGCCTCCCGAGTCGAGGCCGCGCCCCCTAGCGCCCAGCGCCCGGAGCAGCTCGTCGAAGACGCGTGCGGCTCGGGTAGCGGCGCTCCTCGTCTTTGCCTTGTCGACGGCTGTCTTGGTGGTGCTTGCAGCCACGGCGGAGGCATTTCGCTCGGCTTTCTCGGCATCCTGCCGTAGATCCGAGAAGATGGCTTCCACCTGATTCCAAATGGGTGAAACGGGAACGCCAACTAAAAAAAAATGGACATTTCGTACCTCCTTCAAGTTTGACACTACAGAGCTGCAGGGCAGGCAACAAGGGGAAAAACCGTGAGAGCATTTTCTGCATGAAACCTCTTTAAACATTCGAAGACGTGCTGCCACCACGGGCCAAACGGCCCGGCGCAACAACGTGAGGCATGAAATAAAACAAAACAAAGTCCCATATCACTGCCTCCATATAATCACGGGGAGGAGCGGCGAGGCGTACCTCGGATTGTCGCCCGCACCGGGCCAGGCCACGCACAACCTCAGCGAGGCCGAAGATGTCTTCCCTGCTGGCGAAACTGCCGCCGTATCTCCGGTAAGATCGAAAAGCCTCCATAGACCTGCACCAACAGCAGGAAGGCGGTAGAGGGGGGTAAAGCCCTCTGTCTCTCGTTCGCATTTCAGTCGAGAGCCGGGAAGAGACACGCCGAAAGCAGTGCATGTCACAGCCAACCGGCAAGAGCTAGTTACTCGACTTGAGGGCCACCACCAAATTTGGAATCTGGTATGTATCGAATAGGCGCCGACACTATGAGAGGAGCGCCGAAAGTGCGGCGAAACTCATTTGCTTGCTGCAGCCGCCACGCCCCGCGGACGGGCGCCGTACCCGAAAACCTCACCTTGACATGGCATCATCTGAGATCAACCCCGAGTCCCGCACGCACAGGGCCAACGAGGAGGCTCGCGCCATCCACGACTCGGGAGTCACGAGCCCCCCTTCATCGGCAGTTCTATCTGGATCTGTCGATGCGCTTGCTGCTTCATTAAGCGCCTCCAGCATGCCGTCCCAAGCTTCGTCAACCTTTTCGAGCGGGGCCTGCACATATCCAACACGGGCGTACGTACATTGCGGGTGGGTATCAGTTTGTCAGCGATGTTTCAAGAGAATAAAGAGCTATTCTGTTTGCAGGCTGCCTAAACGCTACCGCCTTTCATATATATAACTACCTGGGTACGCGAATTCCGTGGACTGTAGGAGCAGTGCTGGAACTTATTTGACTTGTCAGCTGCACTCGGCACCGAGAGCGGTGGGCCGTGCCCCTTCAGGGGGTGGGGGACACCGCACGCTCCCAGCACAGTCCGCTCCCAAACACGTGGTGAATGGTAATGTTCGGTTGTTTTAGTATCGCATCGCAGCCAAGACGCGAACCTGCGAGTCGCAGGTGTAGGCTTTTCTACTCAAAACCGTCGCCACATCACACAAACAGAGGCACGACAGCGAAGAGTGGCTTCCCGAAACTCGAAACAAACCGTCAGACAACAGAACAAGACAGATGCACACGACAGAGGCAATAACACTTTGTACCCGCACAAACGTGCGGCATGCTCCAACGAGTGAGAGCTTAGTTTGCCGTTGCGACTCTCCTGCAGCACTCGCAGGACAGGGGGGCTGCCTTGCGACCTACTACAGAGTTAACGCTTGTGCTTTGAAAAGTTGTCACCTGCTGCTGGTCTTGTTGGTTATCGCCGAATGGAGCGTATCCCGCGCTGTTGGCGTGGGTTGTCATGAGGCCAACGAAAATATCCTGCTGAACGCCTCCCCTTGTCGTAAGCCCTCGCTCCTGGGGTTAATGGAGGAGGAAAGGAGAGCCGCAGCAAGGGGTCACCCGACTCAAGGATACAAGAGTTAACAAGAGGATGCAGTGTGTTGCAGCAGCTGTCCACAACGCCCTGCTGACATGGGCCCAACGCATACATTGCTATTTCAATCGAGGATCCTGGCTTTCCGCCCAGCGCATAAAATTCTGGGAGAAAAAACGCACACCTACACCGCTGTCCAATCTTGCATTGTGTTTGAAACCTCACCCTTAGTAGTGGGGCCAGTCACCTACACACGCTGAGCTTGTCTCGCTATCCTTATCCTTTGCGGCACATGCAAACCGGAATCTATCCAAACAGGTGAGGGGACCAAGCGAGCACTATGCAACGGCTTCGTGTGTGGTCTGCACGCGACGTGGGAATCCTCACCAGAGCACCCTGCGAGACTCGCGCGTGTACAGGTACGGCTCTCACCTGAATGTGCGCCCACACAGCCTCCATTTCCACCAGGAGAGGTGGTCTCGCGATCGCACACCCGTGCAGCAAATCTGAGTAAACCTCAACGTCAACCTCTCGGCCCGTTGCCTCCATCTCCGCCACCTCCGCTAGTGCGCTGGTCACGTCTTGACGCCGGCAGTGCGCTCGAACCAACCGGGAAAACATGATGCCGATCGGATCCACTGCGGTCAGGCCAGGCTTCGAGCCTTTCAGCAAGGATAGTACGGCCTGGAGGGAAAGTAACGGAGGGGGAAGGTGAAGTGGGTGTGCCTTGCAAGGGTGCTGTGTTTGCCAGCGACAAGAGAACCGAGAGTGTGTGTGAGAGAGAGAGAGAGGGATACGAGCAGTGGTGCTCATGAAACTAGAAGACAAACAAAAATAGCAAAATAGCGACTCGCGATTGAGTGTGATACGTTTTCTTTTCGGCGCATTCTCAGCCGCAGTGCCGCAAGTCTGTCGTTCACTGTGCACACCCTGCAACGAGGTTCATAGCTCCATTGCTCCGCAAGAAAGGGGATACAACTGTCGCATTGATCGGTGGATTCGGATTTCGGAAAGATCTCGTCGAGATGGGCTACACTACTACTACCAAGCACGGTAGACGTACATGAATTTCGGGCCCTCTTTTTATGCTATCAGTCGGTTGGCATAGCTATCGAGTTTTCAAGGTTTATCCAGGGGGTGTGCGATGACCTGCATTGGCTTCAACTGTTGTGACGTCGTGCTGGTTCCTGCGGTACATGATGCTGGTTTGCTGTAGTCTAAAGCAAGATTCTCCGTGTATTTACAGAGCACCTACACAGAGGCTAGACTACAGGCTCCGCTATGTACGATTGTACCGCAGTATTCATAGCTTGAAACCATTTCGAAACATCAAGTTTGCCCCAATTGTCTGTTCAGTCAACGTGTGCATCCCCCCACACCCCATTGCCAAGTTGCCACTACCTACCTTGATACTCCTGGCGTCCTTGGCTTCTGAGAAGTGGTCGGCCAAGGCTTCAATCGCCTCAATCGAGGGCTGAGCTCCGGCAGCGACCATGCCCCGCACCAACGCCACCAGCGATGGACTGCTCGGTCGCGGCTCACACAGTACTCTGAACATCTCCTCCTGCAATTGACTCGCTGCTACTCTAACGGAGTCTTCAGGTCTAGCAGCACCGGCAGCAGTACCGGAAGCACCGCGATCCGCAGGATCAGATGTTCTTGCTGGGAGCGCTGAGTGCACCAGGCAGGGCGAAGCTCCGGCTAGCAACCTTGCCAGAGGAGCATGCCCACGCTGGCTTCGGGCACAAACGGCAAGCGCAAGCTCCCTTTTCGACCCGACCAAGCTCCTCCGTAGGAATACTGCCATCTCTCTACTGCGCTGTGGGGAGCTTCCCTGGGGCGAAGTCTGTTCCCTGTGTGTGTTGTCGCTGGTCGCGGTGCAATCAGGGCCGCAGCCGTGTTTTGTCTACCCCCAAAATACCCTCCGCGGAACCCCCCTTTTCGTAGATTTCGCAGATCCTGCCAGCTGCGTCGGATCAGAAGAATTTGTTTTTTCTTTCCGTGCATTCGATCCTCTGCCGTTCCGTGGATCCTACAGTAATCCTCCAGACTACCTTTGACTTGCTCTCGATCAAGGTTCCTCTCAAGAAAGCGAAAGGAAAAGGTGCGCGGAATGTGCCGTCTTTCTGAGCATTTCGTGCGTAGGTGCTGCTGTCTAGCTGCTGTACAGCGGACTAATGTAAATAGTTCCGCCGCACTTGTCTTCGTTACTGTGTTAGGAACCGTCACCGGCAGCAGCGCCAAACCCGAGGGCAGAGAAGTGTCGCGTTCTCTTCAACGTTAGCCCTTAGAGCCCTCTCGAAAAGGTCGCGTAACGCGCCGCCTCGAAACAATGGAGTTTAACCGAGATGCCACACGACGAGGGCTTCGTGCCCTCACCACTCCCGGCACACAACCTACTCGGAGATATCTTTTTCAGTCTCTTCGTTTCTTCTTCCTTCCCTTCGACCGTTTGTTCTGCCTCAACACAACGAACACACCCCAATCTTCAGCAACATGAATCTCACTTCTCCTTCTCAAAATACTGGCCTGGATGTTGGTTGCTGTTCTGGCCGGATACGGTGTGGCACTCACGGGGCTTCTGGGGGCAGGAGGACAACAACCGGCCGCCTGCGACAGTATCCTGAGCGCGTACATGCGAGCGATTAGCTGCTGAAAAGGATCATGATAACTCCACTCGTGAGTAGTACAGTACCACAAGTGTGCGAAAGAGCCACCAGTTCGCAAACCTGGATCTTCTTGGTATCTCAGCGAGATGCGCTTGTAAGCGGTTCATTCACTTGTTTGCCTGAGTGCGTGGACGAAATCAGGTGGTCCTTCGACCCAGAATAAGGGATTGACCCGAATTTGACGTTTCTCATCTCCGGGCCCGTTCTGTATACCCTTTGCTGCTTGTTTTATTTTCCTCTCAACCTCGATCACGATGGGTTTTCCTATTCTCACTCCCCTCCGGTCGCTGTTACCACCCACCCCCCAGCACCTACGGACCGGTAACCGGCGGCAGCGGCGGCGACGGTACTCCTCCCTCCTTCCCTCTCCTCCCCCATTCCCGAATTGTCAACGTAGCTGCTATTGGGAATATATGCTGTTGTGGATACATTGACGATAGTCCCGAACTTGTACCGGTTCTGGAAGAAGAGGTGTTGTTCACTGTGTTGTCGAAAGGGTATGTCCTACTGTATTGTTGAGTTGGTGCGAATCCTCTTCGCAGTGTGACGCGAGGGTGGAACAAGCCCTATGAAGCAATGACCACTGATGATGTACATAAGCAGAGCACCCGATCGTGCAATCTCATAGACACAGGTCCAAGGCAAAACTCAAGTGCTGCGTGTGTCCCTGTACGTATCCTGTACAGCTGCATCGCGGCGCACCATCTCACTTGTTGTGCCGCTGGACTCTTTAGTACGAGAGACTTGGCTCTTGAGTACTCAGGAAATCTGAAGGAGAAGAAGATGATTTGGAGATGTACTTACTTAATCAAGTGAAACCAGAGAAGTGCGTCTCCGTGAAAAACAGAGAGTGAATAGATGGGGTGGGTACGCGCTCATCCTCGAAATCATGGAATCACACCTATCCAACAACAACGTTGACAAATCACCCGTATTCAGAACACGGCACGGTAAGCTGAAATAGGTTACTGGCAAATATGACTTCAACACTTTTAAGAGTCTGTACTTGCAAGCGTAAGTGATTGCTTGCACTGACGTACGTCTAGACGCAGAATACAGCTTCAACAACCGAACTACTTGCAAATTCTGCCGCATACGAACATTCATTCATTTTGGCACACATGTCTAAGTTACTTGTGACGGCACAAATATATCCTTCTACGCACGCAAGTATTAGTTCCTTGCGTCGGCACAACGTGTCCTTCCACGCATGCACGTATGAGCTACTTGCAATAGGATCAATTTCTGGAAATCTACACAACGCATATTCTAGATTGTGAACGAATGTAGATCATCAACCACACGGAATACATCTACTTACGACATGGCATAGCGACATTGCCAATATTTGTAGCAGTCATGCTGACTGCCGAATGCTGAAACTACCAAATATTCCAATAGCTGCTGTCACAGGCGATGCCTCCCCCGGCACCTGCTGACCGGGTACCGGCGGCGGCGTTGACGGTACGTCTCCTCCCCCCATCTCCCCTCTCATCCCCCATTTGTGACGAAGTGCTACCAATCATGCTTTCCTATAGCGGCCAAGCATCGCGGGCAGTGAAGCAACGTTGCATTAGTACTGTACTGCTGTAGCAATCGTTCCAAATCAAGTACCCACGACATATCGTCCAATTCGAGTGATAACCAGCTCTTTTCGGTTTCGTTCGCGTAGAGTGTGCGCTACCGCATCTTCTTCCTGGCGTCATACCGTCAGATCTCCACTACACGCTCCGTTAATACGTAACCACAACAACGGCGAAACCTGAGATATGAACCTGTACATGCTGTACGGAGGATCAGCAGCTCGTGGACGTGTTCATGAATGCGGCGCCCATCCTCTTGAAGAATTCGCCTTTCAAGAAGAAGCCCCAACCTTTCCTGCCCAGCAAGCCCTTAACGAGAGACAAAGCACTGACGGCATTAGCGGCATAGTTGACAGGCACGCATAGCATGCACACCACGACACCCAAGTTGAACACAAAGAAAATTCCTTGGAGCCTCCTGGCTTGCCCGGGTGTCGTCACGGCGAGCGCCGTGGCAATCGCCGCTGTGGTCACCCCTCCCATGGTGTACACCCGTTTATCCGCCAGCTTGAACTCGGTCCACAGGAAAGCGAGCCACCCACCGACCGTGAGAGTGGCTGGAAACCACGAAAGTGCGTTGGCAGGAGCGGGGGCAGCGGCGGGGGCACCATACCACACGTGAACCAAGCACAGAGCGACCTTGAATGCCGTCATCAGGTACAGCATGCCGGTGGTGGTCTGGACGGGCCACTCGCAGATTGTGAACGCCACCACGATCAGGAAAGCCGGTAGGGCGAGGGGCGAGAGCGCAAAACGAATCTGCCTCTTCTGCGCGGACTTCATCACGGAAGCGAAGCCCTTCAGACGCACTAGCATTAGAACCTCGTTGACCGAGCGCATCATTTCCGGCTGCGACCACCGTCGCGCTCAAGCCCACTACCAAGCTGGCAACACCTGGGGCATAGAGGAAGTCCTACAGAGGGGGCGGGCACACTATGATAATTGCGCAAACGCGAAGGTTGCCCTCGACGCCATGGTGCATGTACCCCACAGCAAAGAGCGGTTATTCGCGCTTTGGCAATCAAAAGGGGCGAGCTGTTAGTAGAGAAAAAGCACAATGCTGCGCCACAAGCCGAGCAGCAACATAAACGGCATAAACGACGGGTGAGGGCGCGCGCAGGCACACGCAACGGCAACACTCACCCCCTGTGACGAGCACGGAGGCGATATTCAGACCGAACGATCCGACCGTCAGCAGGGTGTCCCGCACGCGGCGCCAGTTGCGTTTTGGCGGGTCCACGGCCTTGCGAGTCTCCTCGATGAAATAGTAGACCCGCTCGGCGTACTTGCAGAGAACCATCACGCCGACGATGGTGACTGCCGGAAGGCTGTATCCGTAGAAGCCGTCTCTTTTCGTTCCCCCTCCCGCTCCCGACCAAGAGTGTCACTGCTTACTCAGCAGCAGCCAGATTACGCAGTGCCCCAGAATGCTGGAACGATCCCGCAGAGAAAAATCGACAGAGGGAGCGGGGGCAAACATATATACAGAGCGCGAGATTTCAGCAATATATGGTGTCAACGTGTGGTGTTGAGACAGGAGATGAGCGGGGGGTTACGCATAATCTGCGTCTCACAAGTCCGTGCGCTTATGGAAACGCTTGAACCTTTTGATACGCTACCATTCATTAGACATGGCGAATCCAAGACATTCACGACAATGCAAGCGGGTGCTACTCGTGGAAGAAATGATGATACGATATCATGTCTTCCACGAGTAGCACCCGCTTGCCGTGTTGCGAAAGTCCTAGTTTCGCCGGGTTTGCCGGTGAGCACCCTCAACCCGTTGGGGCCATACGCCTCCACGTGTCGTTCTTGGTGGGCGAGGTGCCCGAGGGCGTGGTAGTGGCGGTGGGCTACGGTAGTCCGCCTTGAGGGCAGCTATCGCCCGCGGCACAAAGCTTGTGAGCCCTGCATCGACAAGCGAAGCGCAGAGAAACATCCGCCCGAGCGCAGATGTACAGGTACACAGGTACACAGGCAACAGAGACGAAAAGAAACGAGGGACACAATAAGACATGTCACAGTGATTTACAAGAAAGTCCGTGACAACTTTTCTCGGAGCAAGATCCCCTCCAATGTCGCCAGTTGACGCGCTCTAAAAGGAACTAGGGTTAAGGATTGGCCCCCCGCCCCCCAATGGGGCTGTGGGCCAACATCCAGAACGGATGGTGGTGAGTGTCCGGGAGGAAGGGAAGAAGAAGAAGAAGGGGAGAGGATTTGCAAGGGCGGGAAGAAGGGACGGTGTTGGGAGAGGCAAGGAAGTGATGAAGAATTTCGGCACTCGACGAGCGCGCGGTCCTGTCGGGGATGAAAGGAACATGTCAGTCCGTAGTCTTGTCTATCGGAATCGAAAAGCCGAAAAATGGAGGTATTATACATTATGTACACAACGACGGAGAAGGCCGACGAGGAAGGTACGAAGAGAGGAAATTGCACCCCACGTTCGAAGTCGGTGTGAAAACCGCGGCAAGGATGGAGTGCGAAGGGAACAAAAAAAAAACGGAGACGTTGACGTTTGCGTCGTGGAGCGATCCTTCTGTATATCGCAGGTACTCGCCAACGCAAGACGGGGAGGTTAAATACCCATCGTGAAAGTCAAAGCGCAGGTCATAGCTGCATATGACTCATGCGCGGAGAAGTTACCACACGGAGACTTATCAACAAGAAGTTTGAAGGCCGGCTGAGAAGGTTTGAAGACACAAACACTTAAGCGGCGACGATGGCAAGCGCAACGTCAAGACTTCACAAGAAGAAAAGTGCATACAAAAAAAAGAAAAGGCCGGATGGCGACCTATGGCTCTCTCTCTCAGAATGAAGGGATTCCCACAATTTCCAACAGGTAGTCTACAAGTATCGAGGAGGACGTCGGAACGGTTTTTAATGTGGAGACAACAGCAACAACAACAACGATGAAGGTCGACCCGTCCTCCATCGTTCAGTGTAAAATGATAAATGCAAAAGGTGGACTGCGTAAAGATCCAGCGGTCTTTTTCGGCAGTGGCAAAGAAATATGCGACCACATGCCGCGAAAAAAAAAAAAAGTTGAGCGGAAATACTCTATTATAGTAAATAGAACACCGCCTTCTCTGTTGTTGCAGGCAGGTTTGCTTCCACAACCCGGGAGTCCAACCCACTCTTGTATTTCGGCCTACAAGACTCCAATCGACACAAACACCGGTAGGAGAGTGCGTGGGAGATGCCGTGACATCACAACTCCACTCTCCTACGACATCTATGTACAGTAGTACTGCTGTCGTTGTAGCATGCATGTGGAACATCTCCGAGGCGTCCTCCTGCGCGGTAACGACAACATGGCGAGAGCTCTACGTGTACCTGTCGTCGACACATGTGGCAGGCGCGCGATACACGAACGGATGTTTGCATCGCATTGTACTATGGTTCGCCGTGGCAAGAAGTATCCCATCTCGTTAGGTCGTTGCGGTACTTGTAGCACGCGGACGTCGTTCGGCGTCTAGTCCATACTGCTGTAGCAAAAACACAGCAGCAGTAATCGAGCTATGCATGAAATTTTTTGCTCTGGTTCACTTTTGCCTCCACAACACGAGAATCCCACTGCTGTATCTCGACCTACAAGACTCCAATCAACAAACCAGCACTGGCAGAAGTGCGTGGAAGATGCTGTGACAGCACAACTAAGCCGACACTCGTACGACTTCCATGTAAAGTCGGCGTCTGGTCCATACTGCTGTAGAAATTCAAAAATCGAGCCATTTATTTTTTATTTTTTTCCATACTAATAACAAGAAATGTGTCACGTCACGACGACCAACCTCTAAGTATATATATAACATGATAACCTTGAATGTGAAGACAACAACGACGATGAACGTAGCAACACCAGCAGCAGCAACAACATCCATGAACACAAGTTTAACAACAATATACCCAATCCCTCTCTGTATTGCTGTTGCTGCGGTTGCTGTGGCCGTTGATATGCTATAATAGTTCTTCACGACAAAAAATGTTCTGGGCCTTACCCGTTTACCCCCCCTTCCCCACCCTTCAAGGGCGAAAAAATATTGTTGTATCACACCCGGAAGAAAACTCGCATTCATCAAGTGAAAAACATAAAGTCCACGTTGGAGAAGAAAAAAATATCCTCGAAAAACTTGTTGCACGGCTTGGTACGATTGCTGTCTCTACATGTGTGTGTGCTACCCGGCTCTTTCTCTCTCACTCAGTTGTGCGTCTTCTCGGTGATTGCTCTGCCTGGAAATAATCCGGCTGCGGTTGCTGACCCCATTCCTACAATGCAAAAAACAAGAAATTGAAAAACAAAGAAAAAAGTTCGTTGCAGAGAGTTAACGAAGAGACGTTTGTTGTGAAACGAAAGATGAAGAAACATATCTAGATCTGCGGAAATGTCCGCCGTTGGTGCGGAGCCTTTTCTTGGGCCTCATCACAGAAAGGTCTTCAAAGGTGTTCGGGGTTGAAAGATGTTTCGAAAAGTGTTCTATGCATAGGCGAGGCCTCGTAACATGTTTTTTTTTCTTACGGTAATTTGTACCATTGGGAGGCTCAGCCGTCCGAGACTGCCATAACAGTTTCGCGCCGGCTGGTGGTTTGAGGAGGGAGACATGCTGGCACACGTCGTATGACACGGGTGTAGTCTGCCTCCGTAGGCCACTTTAAGTATTCTCTATGCGTAACAATTCGAAAAACAAATTGTGGCAACGGTCGCCGTAACCTGTTTTTACATGTACAGTACCTGTAGTGCAGGTTGAATAGAGCAGGTGCCCGGTATGGTGCAGGTAAAATCTCTGGACACCGACAGCGCCCTCAATAGTGCAGGTCCTGTACTACTGAGGGCGGTCCCCCTATGTGCAGGTTGGGTACCGTGGTGCCTCGGGCAGTACTGGCAAAGGCACAAATCGACTTGTGGGGAGCCTTTCGCAAGGTGCATTTCGACGACGAAACAACCTTGCTTCGCCTGAAGGCTTTTCATACCAATAGGATTCGGAGACGGTTTACCTTCGAGCTGGCTCGTTTTCTGTCGGTACGAACTCGTGATGGTTTCAAACGTCATCTACTGATCGACCAATTCCCACCACGACCAATAGGTTGAGATCTCGGTGGTAGTAGTGCAGATAGAAACGATCATGATGGCAATGAGGGGAACTCGTTTGGCAGCGATGAAGGTGGAGGAGAGGGAACGGGAGGACAAAACAGAGACCAAGACAGCCATCGATGAGGGGCATCATGGCGTTGATGAGAGCAAGATCTTCGAGCCAGGTGGCCTTCCCCACAACAAATGACGCAGGGCCATAGAAGAACTGCCGAAAATTGCTGTCAAAATGATTATGGGAATGATGGTAGTGACAGCAAGGAGGATAATGGTGAAAGCACTCCAAAACGAACTCGAGTGCAAGGTAGCAGCCTTGGCAGCGCGTGCAATGGTACCGTTTCTTTCTTTGATCCGGAGAATAGCTTAGCCTCCCCCATGCCGCCCCCCAACGGGGTCCCAGTTCATGGCGTTTATACGTATTTTGTGTGTTCACCGGCACTGAGACTGACGTCTCTTCATTGGTCAGCCGGTTAGCGCGGTCGATGCTAGTATAAAGACACAGACACACACCGACGCAACACAGAAACGAGGGTACACGTGCGGCTGCATCCCAGAAGAGCTCTACGCAGAAATATGCTTTCTTCTTGCAGTGCGCTTCATGTCGTGTCTCTTGTCTTGTCTTGTCTTGTGTTTTTTCTTTTCGTGCGACATTGGAGCGGGTGCGCCAGGCAGACATGAGATAATTATTCGTGACGTAGTGAGGGCGGGGGTTACAGCTGTAGCAGTAGTTGTTCGTTTTCTTGCAGTGCGCTTCCTGTCGTGTTTCTTTTTTGTTTTGTTTTGTTTTGTCTTTTTTTTCTTGCAACATCGAAGGAGGGCAACGAGGCCTGACATTTAGCTTCGTCCACTACGTATTAATGATGAAGGGTTGGTTCACGCGACAAGTTCAGGGTGTGCAGTATCGTACGAGTGCTGAGGCAGGAAGAAAATATGCAGCATAACGGTAATTTTTCTACAACATCTCTGTGTGTGCGACAGGGGGGGACCAACACGCGTCGCGAGACAGTCTGCCCACGCCCACGCTTGAACAGGGCCCAGCACTAATTCTGCAATTCGATCCATTTCTCTGTTAGCCCCGCAAGGCGTGAGCGCCACACCATGAAGTCAAATATCTCCTCAACAGTGTCGAACCTGCACTATTGAGGCACTCTTCTGATTAGTGCAGGTGCCCGCTAGTGCAGGTAAAATCTCTGGACACACCCCTGCACTATAGCGACCCCAGTACTGTACCCCGAAGAATACAAGGACATGTTATGACATGTCATGTGTGGCTTACGCAGGCGACCATCAATTGTTGCTGGAGGAGATGCGACAAGACAGTACCGGTGGTGTACACGGTTTGCTGTACTACGACCGATGCTCTGCTGTGGCGGCCGTGCCTGCTATTCTGCTGCTGGGCATCGCTCGCGCCCGTTCTTTCGCAGTTTCGGAGGGATAGTTACGCATATATATGCAGATGCGCTGACGCCCGCCCACACCCGCCCCGACATGCTGTGTTCCCGTTTCTCCGGCGGTATGGTATCTCTCTATGACCCACAAAATCAATGCAAAAGCAACATCCCGAAAGGACAAAAAACTGCAACAAGTTCTTGGGGGCATGAACTCGGTAGTGATACATATGTTGGTGCGTCTTCGGTCGTTGGGGTGTTGTTGCTGCAGCTTGACTGGATTCCAAACGCGGCGTCACCAGCTACATACATGCATATAATATATACTACACCGCTGATCTCTCTGCGATCGGCGAGCAACCCGACCTCTCGCGCGCTAGCGACAGAATCTCAAAGGCACGCATGAATGGCACTCGTTAAGGCATGAAACATGCCTATCGTCTGGTGGAAGTTCGACTGTTGGGCGGTCTATGTACAGAACACGGCGTGTCGAATGGTTATTTACTCCTCCGTGTCACAACCTTGCTTTGTGCACATTATCCATTGTGCATCTACCTCCTCATCTCCTCCCCAAAGGACACACACTTGATCCCCCAGGCTGTGCTGTCACTCGCAAAGAAAACCACCATAAACACACCCACACGCGCCCCGCCACTTACCTGTTGTCTACAGCAGTACAGAAGTACCGCCCCTTCTTCACTGCGGCTACATGAACAGTGAGAAATCGTGAATTTGGTCGCAGCACTCTCTTACCTGTTTTGCCGAGGAGCGCAGGAGAGGGCGACACCGGCGAGAGAGGGAGAGCCGATCTTGTCTATCAACCCATCAGGATCCACACCTTGGTTGGTTTTGGCGGTGTATGAGTAGCCGAGGCGTTGTTCTCTGCCCATGGGTATTTTGTGCAGAGCAAAGTGAAGCCGGAGGCATGGGAAGTGAGTGCGGAGAAACACCCTGGATCGCACTGGATCCAGGCAATGGTGGACGAGATATCGCGGGGCACAATCAGGGTGCGTCTCCTAGCGAGAGATTTGTGTGGGCGAACGAAAATGCTTGTGGACGCGTGCCAGGGTGGAGCGCTTCTGGTGTGTGCTGCGACAGCTCATGAACCCACAGCCACCAGCCCACCAAGCCCGGCTGGGAGCTCTCTGGCTGGCGGCGGTTCCTTTCCACATCCCCCCCGCCGATGCCTACAGCACGGAACCCCTGCTTTTCGTAGATTTCTCTCGTAGATCCTACACCAGCACCAGCCTCCAGCCTGCTGCCTGCTGCCTCCCTCTCTCTGTTTACACGGCAAGGGTTTGAGCCACTAGATGCAGCGTGGATGTTCAGCAGGCCCCAACAGGTCTGAATCGACCCGTAGCAGCACTGCTGCCGAAGCTCCTTCTGCACGTCAGGGCGGCAGGTGCGAAATCTCGGATATGGTCTTGCACCCTCCTTCCCTCGTTGCCTCGCTCTTCGACCGGGGTGTTCAACGTGTCGCTGCACTTGCCACACACCAACACGGGCTCGGGAGTGCTAGTCTTTTCATTGTGCGTGTGATGAGGTTCTCGCAATGTCACACATGCTCACCCTCTGGTTCACGAGATCATATGCTTTTTCTGCTTCATCGACACTGGTGCCGCTGCATCGTGCGTTGGTCGTGCTACGACGCTACGACTACTCTGTGATCGGCTACTACTATGCATAGCAAGCACTCCACTCTCATGATGGAGTCCCATGTGATTCCCATATTCCCGAGAGACCTAGTGTATCTTTATTTTGCTGCTGCTCAACACTGCTGCTGCTGTATCGTGTTTTTGCCGTTCTGCTATGCATACGACTGTGCGGGCTCCGGGGCGTCTGGCGTGGCTATGCAACACAGCAATAGATACGGTGCGGCGGAGGATGAGGAAGTGCCGGCGTGGAAGCGGCAGCTGTCCTTCCGCGGGCAGCCGTACCGGTATGCCCACCACCAGAATGGGGTGATGGGCCACTTTCAGGTGTTGTACCCCGCTTGGGCGCCGTGTGCCTAAGGACCAACAACCTGTCTCCATGAACTACGAAGTACTACTGTAGTGCACAGCACCGGTGATGGCTTGACAAGAGATAGTTGCTCTGCGCCCTTTCCCAGTGCTTCACATCCTCGCGCCCCCCCCCCCCCACAAGCAGAAATACAAACGTCCCCTTCGTGTTTCTCAAGTGCCGTGTCCCGATGAGTACCATATCTCGCCCCAGCTGGCACAATATCACGTTCGTTGTTGTACGCCAATCGCCGTCGCTCTGTCGACATCCCTGTGTGTATCGTTGTACCCATCCGCGTCGCCCAGGCACGGCATGCTTTTGTCTCCATCTCTGCACGTTTCTTGCCTCTTGTTTCGCGCCTTAGACTACTCTTCGAAGTATTTTTTTTTTGTCAATGGCGTCGACCGTGCTATTCGGCTGACCAATGAAAATAATTCAGTCTCAGTGCGGCTGAAAACAGAGAATGTGTGTGTGTGTCGTTCTGTATGTTGCGGGAGTCAGGGCTCACACGTTTCACCTGTTAGAATTTCTGTATGTAGTATTTTTTTCTTGGCGCATCAGCCGGGGTCAAACAGGGGGAAGGCCGGCGAATTTTTTCAGCTCTGTAGAGTCAATAGATAAACTGGTTGCGTACCAGTAAACTACAGAATTCATATTGTTATCGTTCCGATGTTTTTGTTTTGTTTTTCAGATACGAGTTGTGGCCGCCTCCGAAATTTCGGAACCGGACTGGTCTCGTGTGACCAGCAACCTCAACATCAATGCCATTGCTGGCAGCGGGTCGGGCACAGGGAGCGCTCTCCCCTACGTCGCTGTGTCCCTGGGGAAGGTAGGCCATCGCTCCGGAGGCTGCCGAATGGGGCCGTTCGGTTCACTTACCGTTGACATCGTTTTTGTTGGGTAAAGCCAAAACGAACCCGGCGTAGACGCTTCTTTGGTGTACCGCACGAGGGGATTTGTTGTGTGGTGGGTGTGGTGGACTGGGAGGGCAGTCGGCCAGAAGGTGAATCTCGTCGACTGCGTCGTTTTTTCCAACGCTCATGTCGGCAGGTTTTCCCGCGATACTTTTCCCGCGGTAAAACTAAGGAAATTGGGAATTGGTGGTGGTACGGCTGGATTGAAGCAGCCACCTACCACCAGAACACTACCAACCACATGGTGTTCTCCCGTTTCCATCCAAATCGCTTTCGAGCAAAACAAATCTTCCCAGTATTATCCAAACAACATCACGAAAGCTGCGTATTTCAATAGGAGTGGGTTTCAACGCGGGTGACACCATACCGTGGAGGTGGCCTCTGACCTCGCTCAAAGGACCAATGCTGCAAAGTCACAGCAGGGGGCTGGCTCTCGCCATAAACAAGAATGTTTTTTCGCTTTGTTAGCGCCCACTCTTTCTATTTTAACTCCCACAACGAAGCAAATGAAACGCTGCAGTGCTCCTCACGATGGCTATCTCCCATTGTCAGGATACATGTGTCTTTCTAGCTTCGACCTTTTTTGGCAACCAATCCCCCGCTGTGCATCCCGTTGCCGCCGCCGCGTGTCTCTGGCAGTGCACCGTAAGGAGCTCGGCTCGGGAGGCGCAGCCGGACTCTCTCGGGACCTTGCGCGCTTCGTGGCCGCGTGGAATGCTCTCGGTGGAGGTGATGAAGGGGGACATCCGGCCCGGCGAACTCCCCCGTCTCGCCGTTCAGGTCCGCCGATAACTCGTTGTGGGAAATTTCTGATGCGATATGCATGGATGTGGATATGTATCAACAGTGGGCGTGCGGGCTACGTCGGATGTACCACGCTTCCGCTGCTTCTACATTTGGTCTTGGCGGTGCGTGTCGTTGGAGTAGGCAGGCGCCATGTATGTTGAGAGACGCTGAAACCAGGGGGGGGGGGGGGGGGGGGGGGGG